TCAGTGGCTATTAGCCACAAGGTATAGATAGGAACTCTGGGGCAAGTATTCTTGGTGCTTGGGGGGGGCAACAGTGGGAGGGCTTCTAGTGTACTGGCCCCACTGCTGGACCTCCTGATGGCACCTGGTATTTTTGGCCACTGTGTGGCAGTGTTGGACTGGATGGGCCATTGGCCTGATCCAACATTGGCTTCTCTTATGTTCTCATGCAAGTACCATGGAGAAGCAGCACAGAAACATCCTAAATAAATAAAGGGGGGAAATAATTTGAGTTTTTAAAAAGTGCATTATGAAAGACAAATATTAATACTATTGTTTGTATACCTATCACAATAGGGCCTGCAAAACGGAGCTCTTCCATCAGGCTTTCAATTAGGAGCCACCCCGAGGGAGAACAATGCTCCCTGAACAGCCTGTGCCAGCCGCACATTGTTAGATATGGGTCAATCACTAGGATGGTATAATGAAGGCTGACCGCCATCTTAAATTTAACTTAAATTGTCAATCTGTTAGCACCTTTTTAATGTTGAAATTGTTTTATGGTTTTAGGACTGGGTAGGGCGGGGTATAAATTTAATAATTTAATAATTAATAAATAAATAATAGTGCAGCTGCAAAACTAAGTAGTGGATAGCCCCATTCTAACTATAAAGGGTCAGCAGGACACTGCAGAAAAAGAGAGATCAAGATATGATGACAGAAATGAAAATAAATTATAATTGACCAGAAAAGATGATGGAGCACAAACTTCAGTGCAGTAAAAACAAATGAAAACCACATCAGAAGGATGCATATAAAATGTAGATGCAAAGTGTTAATTTAGGTTTACTATTACTAGATAAATATGTTAGATGCCTTATGAAACAGAATTATGAGCATAATAGGCTGCCTTGAACCACAAGGAAAGGCACAGTATAAAGTTTTAATAAACAGTAAATAAATAAATCCCTGAAGCATCTTAACGTTTTCAGACAGGCACAGATTCAGGTACAGGAAACAAAAACAGAAAGGAGCCTCGTGGGATCTCAAAGACTAAAACATTAACAGATTTATTTCAAGTGTTCCTAGGCTAGAGTCCATCAGTTCAGTGAACTAAAACCCAATAAGATAGCACTGTCAACAGAATTAAAAGGTCATGAAACTCAAGTATAATTCTGACACATTTATATACAAAGACTCAGAAGTATAAAAGATGTGAATGATCCCTGTTCTCAACAGCTGTGATTGCAATTACCAGTTTAAAATGGCCTTTTTATCCCTCTGCTCACAATTTTTCCAGTATTTGGATTTTTCATACATTTGAGGAAGTGGACTCTAGCCCATTAAAGATTACACCACAATAAATCTATTAGTCTTTAAGACAGGGCTGTCAAACATATGGCCTGCGGGCCAGAACTGGCCCCTGCAGGGCTCCTTTCCAGCCCACAAACATCTGACTCTCTTCTACTTCCTGGTTCCTGCATCGCAACTCCTTTTTGCCCAGCACTCTCCTCTCCTGCTTCGTAGAGGAGAGAAAGAAAGCCAAGCCTCCCTTTCCTCAATTGACTGACTGCTCCTCTACCCCCTCCTCCTTTGGGGA